CCCCCTCTCCCCTCCCCGTATCGGTCGGTCGAGTCGGTCGAGTCGGTCGGGTTGGTCGGGTTGGTCGGGTTGGTCGAGTTGGTGGGCGAGTCGGTCGGGTCGTCGGTCGGTCGCAGACGGGAATGGACGGCACCACACCTCGCGCTCTGTTCAACAATGGCCAACTGGAACGCGCAACAGCTTCAGGACCTGCTCAAGCCGGGCTCCCGCCACCTTTCGGGGCTTGAGGAGGCAGTCTACCGCAACATCGAGGTACGTACTCCCCCTCTCCCCCCCTCACTTTCCCCTCCCTCCCTCCCTGCGTCATCCCTAGCCCCCTCCCGGTACCCTCTCCCATGGCCTCGGCCTTGATTTTCGCGCTCTTGGGTCGATCCCTCTGCTTTGGCGGGGAGCCACCTAGGTGGCGGCGGGGCGGGGGAAAGGGGGGGTATGGGAGGCTGTATGAGCTACGACAGAGGGAGGAGTATGGCCATGCGAGAGGAAGCAATGAGAGTAAGACAGAGACTCACAGGAAGGATGGCCGAGTGTAGGCGTGCAAGGGCCTCTCGCTCATGACCCGCACCTCGTTTGGTCCCACGGGTAAGTGTGCGAATATTCGCAGATTCTAAGGCCTTGGCCAACACCCCCCCCCCCTTCCCGGCCCCTACGGGGACGGGGAAGGGCGGGGGAAGGGGGTGGGGTGAGGGGAGGGACGGAGAAGATGAAGGGGAGGGGCAAGGGTCACACCGGGGAGTGGAAGGAGATGAGGAGGAGGAGGTAGGGGGGGGGGCGGTGGTGGGTCGGGCGCGGGCTTGGGCTGGGGGCGACCTGGGTGGTGGCGGCGGTGGCGGGGTGACCGGAGTGGTGGGGGAGGGGGGGGGAGGGAGGGAGGGAGGGACGGGGCACTCACTCATGATGGTGTGGATGGTTGGATGGTGTGGTTTGGTGTGGATGATGCTGGGAATAGGAATGAACAAGATGGTTGTCAACCATCTGGGCAAGCTGTTTGTGACGTCGGACACGTCGTCGATTCTGCAGGAGATTGATGTGCAGCACCCTGCGGCCAAGATGATCATGCAGGCAATGTTCATGCAGGAGGCCGAGTGCGGTGACGGGACCAACTACGTCATTGTGTTTGCGGGCGAGCTGCTGGCCAAGGCCGAGCTGCTGCTGAAGATGGGCGTGCACACGGTCGACGTGGTGCTCGGGTTCAACATGGCGCTGGCCAAGGCGCTGGAGCTCATTCCGGAGCTTGTGGTCGACTTCCCGGTGGACCTCCACTCGGCGGACTCGATCAAGGCTGCGATTCTTCCTGTCATTGCTGCCAAGCAGTACGGGTACGAGGAGCACTTTGCTGGCGTGATTGCCGAGGCGTGCGCGGCGGCGATGCCTGAGGACCCGGCGCAGTTCAACGTGGACACCATCCGCGTGGCCAAGATGGTGGGCGGCTCGACGCTCGACACTGCGGTGGTCCGCGGCATGGTTGTGGGCCGGCGGCCGGAGTCGACGGTGCAGAGCGTGCAGAACGCGCGGGTTGCGGTCTTTGCGCAGGCCATTGCGGCGCAGACGACCGAGACCAAGGGTACGGTCCTCATGCACAACGCCGACGAGCTGCTCGGCTTCTCCAAGGCCGAGGAGGCGCAGATGGAGCGGACGATCAAGGGCATCGCCGATTCTGGTGCCAACGTCGTCCTCACCGGCGGCAAGGTCTCGGACATTGCGCTCCACTTCCTCGACAAGTACAACCTGCTTGTGGTCAAGGTCCTGTCCAAGTTCCAGCTCCGCCGGCTGTGCAAGGCCGTCGGCGCCCGCCCGCTGGTCAACCTCGGCGTCCCCACCCCGGACGACCTCGGCTTCTGCGCCGACATCCACGTCGAGGAGGTGGGCTCTACCTACGTCACGGTGTTTGCGACGGAGGACTCGGCCATCTCGACCATCCTCATCCGCGGCTCGACCATGAACCTGCTCGACGACGTCTCGCGTGCCGTCGACGATGGTGTCAACGCCGTCAAGTCGATGACCAAGGACCCGCGCTTTGTCCCGGGCGCCGGCGCCTTTGAGATCGGCCTTGCCGCCCGCATTGCTGAGTACGCCGACTCGCACCCGGGCGTCGAGCAGTATGCCATCCGTCGCTTTGCCGAGGCTCTCGAGGCCATCCCGCGCTCGCTTGCCGAGAACTCGGGCCACGACGCCACCGGCGCGTCGCCTCGCTCTACTCGGCCCAGAAGGCCGGCAAGGTCGCCGGTGTCGACCTCGACTCGGAGGAGGTCATGGACCCGGTCGCGAACGGTGTCGTCGACCTTGCCGTCAACAAGCTCTGGGCTCTCAAGCTCTCCGTCGACGTCGCCACCACCATTGTCTCGGTCGACGAGGTCGTCATGAGCCGCCAGGCCGGTGGCCCCAAGCCGCCGCAGATGGGCGCCCGTGACGCCTAATCCTTGTGCTCGCCCTTTCAAGTGAAACACATCATACTCTTTGCTTTCCTTCATTTCCTCCATTGCCTATTGTTCATTGAGAGCTTCACAGAGTCAGCTGAAGAGGGGAGGGGGCGGGGTTGCTACCCGCGGTACGGCTCGACGTAGTTGGACGGGAACAGGCCCTGCGCGCCGCGGTTCGACCCGCGCCACCACCCGCCGGCCTCCGAGTCGTCGATGATGTCGATGATGTCGCCTTCGTTGAATGAGAGCTCGTCAGCGTCCTGTGCTGCATACGCATACAGCGCCCTGACCTGCTTCTTGGCCGGTGCCGGCGCTGCAGGTGCGCGACCACCGCCACGGCCGCCACCGCGGCCGCGTCCGCCGCCACGGCCACCACCGCGTCCACGACCGCCACCGCGTCCGCCGCCACGACCGCCACCGGCGTCCGCCGCCACGGCTCCCGCCGCCACGGCTCCCGCCGCCACGGCTCCCGCCACACGGGCGGCCACGCGCAGAATCGCCGTAGCGATGCCACCGGCGGGTCACCACCGCCCACGCCACGGCCACCGCCACGGGCAACCGCCACGACCGCCACCACGGACCACCGCCACGACTCGGCGCGGCACCGCTAGGACCGGCGCCTCCGCCGCCGCCGCCGCGGTTGCGCTCCTGGAAGGCCTTGCGCGGATCAACGGTGGCGCGACCAGCGCCGGGGCGGAACGAGCCGGAGCCGTCGCCGTATTGGCGCCGCTGCGACGGGTCGGGGGCGACGTACGACGGCTGTGGGCCAGACGACGGGTCCTCGCCGCGCGGGACGTGGACAACCAGCTTCTTGCCGGACTTTTTGAACGAGACGGCCGGCCCGGTAGCAGCGTTGTCAAAGACAGCCGAGCGCGAGCCCTTGCCGTCCTTGAGCGGGTAGGAAATGACGTTGTTGAACTGGACATTGAGGCGAAGCCCGGCGTCCTGCATCTTGAGATTGAGCGAGCAGAGGAACTCGGTCTTCTTGTTGAGCTGGATGAGGTTACCGTGCGAGCCTGTCTGGAGAATGGCGACAAAGTTGTCGGCGAGCTTGGACATGACAACGGCCTGGATCTGGTTGAGCGGGATGCGGCGCTTGAGGGCGTAGACCCACTCGCCCTTGCGCGGGCCCTTCTTGATCTGCAAAATGGCGAGGATGTAGAGGGCGGCATCGGTGACGATAATGTCGCGCTTCTCGACCTTGAAGCGGCGGTCAAACTTGTCGCAGTGGTCGCAGAAGATCATGCGCTCGTCCTTGGACCCATTGGCCTTGACCACCTGCTGCAGCAGCGGGTTGTCGTTGTAGCCGAGGTAGTCGCCGAGGAACTCGCGCTCGATCGAGTTGCGGCGGCGCTCCTTCTGGGCCGAATACAGCTGGATCTGCGACTGGCGGAGGTCCGAAAAGTACTTGAGCGACTTGAAGCGGCGGTAGGCGCGCTGGATGACAATGGCGCAATCGTAGAACTTGCGGTCGCGCTGCTCCTCCAGCGCAAACAGAGTCTCGGGCGAGCGAATAAAGGCCTTGGTCCGGCCGAGCTGCCACTCGTTGCGGTCGACGCGGGCGTCGGTGAGGATGGCTTCGCAGCCGGTCCGGTCGTCGCCGGACCACGCCGGCCAGGTCCGCTCGGAGAGGATGGCAAAGCGGTAGAGGAAGCGGTCAAAGGTCTGGCGGTAGGCAAAGCCTGCGCGGCGAATGCGGACGTTCTCCAGGAGGCCAAGGTAGCGGACCTGATGAAGGACGCGCTCCTTGTCAAAGTCACGCGGCTTCTTGGTCTCGTTCGGCTTGATGCACCGAATGTAGTGCGGAGTACACGACATGAGCTTCTCAACGAGCTCGCCGGCCGAAGCGACAATGCGCTTACCGGCTGTCTTGGTCTTCTTCTTACGCTCGGACGGGTCCGGGATGGGCTCAGGGAAGAGGGTCGGGATGAAGCCGTTGCCGGACGACTTGACAATCTCCAACAGCTCCTTGGAGATGGCGTCCTTGTTGCGGTCGGTGAAGCCATCCGGGTGGTACGTCACGTCGCCAGCGTAGTGACGGATGAGGAAGGCCGGATAGCGCGAGACGTAGTGCTCATGCGACGAGACGAGGCCGTCGAGCTTCTGCACAAACTTGTCGTCGACGCCGTCCGACTGGCCGTGGATGGTGGCGCAAATGTCGTCAAGGATGACAAAGATGCCCGGCGGGCGGCGGCCCTCGATGAGGTCGCACACCACCTTGTTGTTAAAGTACGAGATGGGCGTCCACTGGATGCCTTCAAAGTCGTACTCCTCCTGCTCGCGCTTGAGAGTCAGCTCGATAAAAATCTGCTGGAGCTTCTCGTTGACGTAGTTGATGCAAAACTGCTCAAAGCCGTTCTTGCGGAAGATCTCAAAGCCGTAGATGTCGAGAACACCGATGACCAGCGAGTCCTGCTCCTTGACCATGGCGGCGTTGACGGCCTGCACAAGGTAGTCGAAGAGGCGCGAGTAGAGCTGCTGCGAGAGCGCGTTGCGGGCGTACGTCGCCTGGTCGGCGTTGAGCGGCACGTTGTACACTGAACCGCGGCCGCCAAACCCGGTCTGCATCACCCGCGTCGTCAGCTTGGTCTCGAAAAACGTCGGATCGACCTCGAGCATCTGCGCCGCGAGCGCGACCGACTGCGGGTCGGCGAACTTGGCCGAGTTGCCTTCCTCGTAGAACGAGAGGTTGCCCATGTGCAGAATGGCCGAGATGATCTGCAGGATGGCCTGCTGCGTCGAGTGGTCGATGCCGATGACGTCCATGGCATGCCGCATGTCGCGGTACTCCTGGACGTCGTTCATGCCATCGACGGTGTAGCAGCCCGACGCCGAGAGAATGTTGTAGTTCTCAGGCGACCAGAACGAGTAGTAGTCCCGCTCCTCCTGCGTCGCGCCGGCAAGGACCTGGTAGAAGACGTGAAAGTTGCGCTCGCCCTCGTTCTGGAACGTCACCCGCGACTTTTCCAGCAGGTAGTTGGTAATCCGCCCGCCGTCGGGATCGCCCATCATGTTGAACTGGATCTCAAAGTACTTGCCGAACCGCGACGAGTTGTTGTTGCGGACGGTTTTGGCGTTACCAAACGCCTCCAGCAGCGGGTTCGACTCGAGAATGATGTTCTTAACCCGCTCCACGCCCGACGATGAGCCCGAGACCTCGGCAATGTACTTCATGATCAGCTTGGCAGCCTCAGTCTTGCCAGCACCCGACTCGCCCGAGATGATGACGCACTGGTCCTGGGCTTCGTTAAGCATGGTCGAGTACGTGTCGTCAGCCAGCGAGAAGATGTTCGGCGGCATTTCCAGCCGGTTCTTGCCCTGATACTCCACAATGAGCTTGGTGTCACAGCACGCCACCGGTGTGAACGGATTGACCGAGACGCACACGTTGCCGCAGTAGGTGAAGATTTGGTCGTTCATGTACCGCTTGCGCAAGTTGTCCACAATGGCTCCTTCGTTGATCTTGGACAGGAGCGTCAGGTCCTCCACGCCCTGCTGTTGCACTTTGTCGCGCCATGACGTCTCCTGTGGTTGGGGGGGGGGGGGGGGGGGGGAGGACAAAGGGGGGAAGGGGGGAGGAGAGGGGGAAAGTGGTTGTACCATTGTGGCGGAAAGGTGGAGGAAAGTGGGTGGCCTTGAGTGAGGGTGGACAGTGCAGCAAGTGGAGGTAGTGGCCGACCGGGGAGGGGAAAGGGGGTGAGCATGGGTGGAAACACGTTGCTGTCCATCACCATTATTGTTTTTTTTTTGGTTGGTACCAGACGATGACCTGGCTCCACCTTGTTGGCAGAGCCTGGTGGTCGCCAAGTGGTACTTGCGGGGTAATGGGAAGATGAGGGGTTGGGGACTACTGATGGCTTACTTGAGGTCATTGGCGGAGCGAGCCTTGGACACGTGAGGGGGCTGGGAGGGATTGGATGGAGTGGGCGAGACCAATGGCCGCGGGCGCGAGTAGGTACGGCACGATGAAGAGACAAGCGAGGAGGAGGAGGAGGCGGCAGAGTGGATCGAGCCGCGGTGATGGTCGGAGACACTATTAGATATAAGATCGTCGTCGTCGATGGCGCGCGAGGCGCGCAAGTCCTCGACTTGCTTGTCCGAGTCGGAAGCACAGGCAGAGGAGCGCGAGGCAGCTGAAGGCGATCGCGAACGGGAGCTCGTGCCGGCGACAGTGTCAGCACGGGACTTGGTGCCAGTGCCAGGACTAGAGCTACTACCGTGGCGGGCGTCCAAGCCGTTCGAGGACTTGGCGCGGGAGGTAGCACTACTGGTGGCGGCGGCTCTGTTGACGGCGCGATGAGCGGTGGCGGTGGAGGATATGACGCCGTCTGTGCGAAAGGTGACCTTCATGGGCGAGTGGGAGGTGCCCGGGACAATGGCAAGGTGTGACGGCGCGCCGTGGTACGAGGCCGAGGCCTCGAGCCACGGGTCGTCGTCGGCGGCGTCGTCAGTGACTGCGGCCGAGTGGAGGATGAGCGAGTTTGCCAGCTTTGCGGCGCAGCCAAAGAGACCCATGACCACGGTGAAGCCAATGGTCCAGAGGAACCACACCAAGCCTGTCCAGTACAGACCCGGGGCGCGATCACGGCAGGCGTCGGTAAAGTCGAAGAGAGCAGCAGCGGACCAAACAGCGGCGACGACCCAGAGGACGAGGCCGATGGCGGCCACACAGACGGCAGAAGCGCGATGGACCTGGCGAGCCTCTTCATCGCCATCCCGTGCCCGCCAGTAGCCACGCAACAGCAGCACCATGACCATCCCCACCGTGAGCAGCGCCATTACCGCCGTCACCAGCAGACTGGTCACCAGGTCCTTCCCGCACCGGTTGTAGAAGACCGGGACAGCAACTACGAGGGCAGGCGCAGGGAGGCCAAGGAGAATAAGGAACATGACCGACGAAGCCTTGCTCCCGTATGGGCCCCTGTTCCTGCTCATGGGCGGCGTGTGTGGGGAGGGGGCGGGGAGCGAGGTGATAGGGGTTGGGGGTAAGCGGGAGGGAGAGGGGGGGGGGGGGATAGACGATGATGATGATGATGATGATGATGATGATGATGATGACGATGATGATGATGAAGGCAGAGACCCAATCCGAGGCTAAGTACGGCGCATCAAGGGGGAGGGTGGGTGCGAGGGGGTGCGAAGGGGAGAGGGGGGAAGGGTGAGGGTGGTGGAGGGGTGGGGGGAGGGGGGGGGGTGGGGGGGGGGGGT